AAATGACATCAAACTTCCTGTTAACTCAACTGTAAGCTTCGTCTGACCCTCTAGAATCTGCTCGAGCATCGTTTCCATCTTACTCTCAGGAGTGGGTGTAGGGGGAGCTTGGTAAGTTGTGTTCCAGTAGGTTCTCTGGAAGCTACTACTCAGCGGATATGTCTTCTGAATCCAACTTGGCATTGACTTCTGCAAACTGGCTACCTGTAATCGCACTTGCGATCTTCTTCCTCTCGAAGTCTGCGTTCTTCGTGCTATTGCTGCAGGCTAGATTCTCAATCAAAGCTATAGCATCTTTAGGATACATGGTATTGAAGTTGCCATTGCTCGCATCATCTAGAGCCATCTGATATCTCCAATCAACTCCTCTGAAGAAGGTACCTATAAGCTGAACTTCACTGAAACCGTGATGTGAGCAATCGCGTTGGTACTCCTTGAATCTTACCCAAGCGGCTTTGAATGCTTCTGTTGGCCCTTGACTGAATGTAGATAGCTTGTTGCGTAGCTCTTCAGACTTACCATCATCGTAGAAGTTGTTCCGGAAGGCAATCTTGATGTTCCTCAAGTTAGTCAAAGATCCTGCTTTCAACTGTTTCAGCCAAGAAGCTGCTTCTCCAACATGTGAGTACGGGAAAAGCTTGCAGAGAAGGTAGTCATCTGAAACTCCATTAACCTTGATGGTAGATACCAAATCCTCAAAGCGCTCGATATGATCCATAAGTTGTTCATGAGATAAGCCATGGATAGGATGTTCTCCCACGAGAGTGAAAAGTAAGCGGGTTTCATCTCATAGTCGTTTCTCTGGAATGGGGGTGGTACGATCGCTGATCGATTAGCATAGAACATGTTGTAATCCCCAAGAGTTAGCTGACGTTGTACCGCAACAGGCGGTCGATTATGGCCCTGTTGGCCATCTCTGTACTGTACTTCTGCTGGTTATAGGTATCGATCGTCACCCTGTTGGTGTCGGTCGATACTAATCAAATTTCCAGCGGCTGTGTTGTGTTGAGCAGCAAGTTGGGCGTTCGGATCAACAACTTGATCCTCAGGTATGATGATACCGTGATCATCCAGTCTTTGTCTAGCCTCATTGTAGGCTTGTCCATAATCATCTCTTAAAACTTCCTGTTCATCAGCTTTGATTTCTCCACGAACCATTGTTGATAATTTTTGATATTTGCGCTTGGTGCGTTCTAACTTTGCCAATTTAAGCGTAGACAAATTGACAAATTCCTTTTCTCTGCTGCTCCAAGTTATGCATTTAGACATGCACCTGAAACACAAAAAACAAAAAGAAACGCGTAAGTTTCAAAAGAAAAGAAAAATTTAGACAAAATTTCTAAACAAAATTTAACGGTGATTCCCAAGAACTTCGGCAACGGCGTCAAATTTGATATGAATCAAATTAGAACTCAAGTTTACTCTCTCAAATAAGTGATCATTGTAGCATTTAAGGGTCAGATTCCACAAAGTTCTTTTGTTCACACAGAAAGTTAACAGTTTTGAAATTAAGTTAAATAAATATGAAAAAATTAAAATAAGACAAAGCAATTAAATTGATAAAAGTTCAGATAGATTAAAGCATCAGATTTAGGGAATTTCGTAAGAAATAAATAAATAGTAGATCTAGCAGATAAATAGGATTATTATCGAACCGTTCTAGAACTCAAATCACTAAATTATAGCCAACCAACTCTCGCCTGAATTGACTAACTAAACCTAATAGCAGGAAGTTCCAACTCTCGTCTGTAAACTCCTAAAATTAAGCAAGCATTAAAATCTAGTTTGATATGTTTACAAAGATTCCAATACCAACTCTCGTCTGAATCTAGTAATTTCTGCCCACCTAAGATAGTTCCAGTAACAGGCGCACTCTCGTGTCTAACCTATTATCGTAAGATCAAGTTCTAGTTAGCTACTCTAGAAGTAACTTTAAGAACAACCTAAGGTGAAGAACTCTATAGATAAATCCGAATAGGTTATCGATCTACTAATTCATCTAAGTCTCTAATGAGAATCCCTAAACCTAACAGGAGAATTACTCAGACATGATCATAGAAACAGAAAACATGTTTGAATAATATTGCAATAAAGAAATCATAAGAAGATTAGAGTTTAGAATAAATCTTTTCTCTACAGGGATTTGAAATCTCTTAAAGTAGATCTCTCCAATTATATTCAAAAGGGTTCAAGTTCAGAGAATTACAAAGCAGAAAAGAAGATTGCAAAGTTGTTTGATAATGAATAATGAAAAGTGTAAAAACTATTTATAATATCTCAAAAACGTGCAAGGATTAAAATTACAACTAAGAAATTCTTCTGGGTCGATTTGTGGGCTTCAAAACTCTTAAACCGTCGAAACTTTTTGTTAGGCTGCGTACGGTGTCGACCGACACTGGAGGGTGTCGATCGACACTCCTGCGTTTGATACTGAATCCGTTTCTTCAGTGTTTATTCCTCGGTTTAGCTCTAGAATGTTTTCTTATTTTCAAATGTGTCCTGAACATGTAAAAACCTTAAAAAGACTAGAAAAGACTCTAGAAACAATAAAAAAAATTCTAAAACCGATACATATATCATGGCTAAAAATAGAAAAATCTATAATATATCATGATGCTTTTGGACTAAGTGAAGTTCTACTCACTTTTCAGTGTACGATGAATGATAGAGTAGTCTCTTAAGAACTTTGAGCTTGATATATTTGTGGTGTTTAATAGTTTTATAATTTCTTTCTGTATGAGATATTTTTAATGTTAGATTAGTCATGATCAACCTACACATGTACTTCTATATTTCCTCCATGATTTTAATTGTTCTGTTTTAACCACTGATATGAACGGTGACTTTCGACCTTCATAACTTTGATATCCATATTAATGGAAGTTTGATACTGTACATATACTTGCATCATAACAAATTAGCTGAGACTATATAATTTGACTATTTTCACTGTTCATACTAAATTAACTCAATACATTTGTTTTATTTTCTTACCGGTTGATAGTATTGATCCTTGAGGAAAATAACTATACTATTACATTTCTATCCACTCAATGCAAGAAAGAGGAAATATTGTAATTTAAAACAGTGGCGGAGCCAAAATAATATATTACGGGAATTATATTATTAATATAAAATATAATAATATTAAATTATTTAATTCAAAAATAAGATTGGTAAAATAAACTTTAGCATTTTATGCACTTTTGGCCTTTTTAATATAAATTAGATATAAATTATCAAAGGGGTACTGAAGAGCTGTGCCTAAAGTTTTTCATGCCATAAGCAAAACTGAAAATATAACTAAATTTTTAAATGGTAATTATAATATGTAATATAAAATTTAAAATATAACCCAAATTCTATCCGAAATAATTCATAAAATTATTTTTAAAAACAAATTACAAAAAACTATTCTAATTTATGTTCTTATTGACAATGACATGTAATCTAGTGATTTATGATAATATTGTCGACATAGTACATGTTACTAAAAAAACTAGAATAAAAACAAATGATGTAGAAAATATGGTATATAATTAAAAAAAATTGTATTTTAAATAGTAAAATAAATATTGAACAAAAATAAATTGGATAAAAAGGACTAACAAAAAGAATCTGGTAACAAATAAGAAATTATTACAAAAATGATAAAATTAATGGAAAATCAATGAGGTGGAAAAAATGCATGGACACATTAAATATCTAGAAGTATTATAGATTTAACATTGAGTTCTTGGTGCGCATTTGAGGTTAAAAGAACAATAACTTAACAAACATCTCTAGTGATTAGTAAATATTTATAGACATGATATCCTAAATTTTTTATAGAATTTGATACTCTAGGTAAACGTTTCTTTATTCCTTTCATAGGCATGGGATGTAGAACTTGAGACATGGGAGTCGAGTAAAAAACAAACCAAATTTGCCATCATGTAATATATAGATAAACTTGCACAAAAAAATGCATAACTGTTATGGGGGTCAGTTGAACCCCTCCTCATTGACTAGCTCCGCCTCTGAATTCTAAAACCAACATAAATTTCATGAATTGTCATTATGCTGAAGAGTTTATGGTCTCTGTTCTTTGTAATTCTAGACTACATCTCAAACAAAAAGATGATGATATATTAGTCAAAGGTAATTAGAAGAAAAACAATTCCGTGTAAGATATGGAAAAAGAATTGCATACGTACTGTTTTAAATTAGTAAAATACCCAATTAATTAGGAAATTGAAGTTCTGCTGTTCCCGATGTACAAGAGAATAACAATACAATACACTGATCTAAAGTGAATGGGACGCTTGACATTACCAAACCAAACCATGCTTTTGTATCAATATCAAATAAACATAATTTATAGTAATGTTATTATTATCAACATAAAACATGATAATAATACATTATAATATTTCTAGCCTTTTCTTTTCCGCATAAAAGTCTGTCCTGGCTCATTATAAACTAGCACTAATTTAGGCAAAATCCGTATCTTAACAAAAGTAATAAAAGCAATTTCGAGTATTGGGATTGGAAGATACCTTTTTTTCCCTTATTCATTCTTCTTCTCATTCTTCTTTTCTCTATATAAAGTAGTTGAGACTTGAGAGCCACCGAAAAGCATTCGACATCCTATCATTAAAGCTAACTTTTTCAGTGTTTTATTTCTAAAATATTTTCTTGAAATAAAGAAAGGTGAGAGAGAAATTATGTCCCTACTCTTTAGCTTGTAGAATGAAAGATTGTCAAGCTTTGGTTAGGGAATTTTCTGATAAATCACATGCATTTGTTAGATTTTTGATCCCAAAAAAAAAAAATTCAAACCTTTCTGTAAAAGCAAACCTATTGGCTCCTAGGTCAATGTCAATCTCAATGAATAGTAAAGTCTTTTGATATCACGTATCTATAACATATTATTTCTAGTGGTTCATGTCCTCAACATTCTGCCTAAATTATAGGATCTCAAGACATAGTACTATAGACTACAAGTAGTGGAAAATTTTAGAAGATAGATAAATTATGCGGTATTCACGCATGACATGCGTAAGCATGAAACTAAATCTAATTTGGTTGCTCCAAATATTATGCAAAGTTTAAAGTAGTGCTCCATGCAGACATGAACACATCACACGTACGCATGTATTATGTGTATGTAGAGACACACGTACGCATACCTATATTCACACAATGATCTTCACTTTCTCAAACAAACCAAAAAAAACAAAGATCACACTGTCTTCAATTAGTTTCAAATTTGTTCTTCACCTATTGCTTTTATTTCCGAGTATTTCTATTTACAATAAAGACAAAGAGAGTGTAAATGATAAAAGTCAACCATATCCCATCATTTGGTCTTTGGTTTCCCGACGTCCCACTTTTGTAAAAATCATCTGTTCATTTTCCATTCTTTATCTTTTTTCCTACACAACTGGATATCACCAATGATATCATTATACACTATACCACTATCATTTCACACTTCTCTTCTATATATACATAAGCTTAAGTCTTGTAACAAGAAAGTCATAGCAATATTTGCTAATTAAAACATATAGCAATGAAGGTTCATGAGTTTTCTAATGGATTTTCTTCTTCGTGGGATCAACATGACTCGACATCATCCCTTAGCCTAAGCTGCAAACGCCTCCGTCCTCTCGCCCCGAAGCTTTCCGGCAGCCCTCCCTCCCCTCCTTCTTCTTCCTCCGGCGTCACTTCTGCCACTTTTGACCTCAAAAGCTTCATTAGACCTGATCTAACCGGTCCGACAAAATTTGAACACAAACGAGACCCTCCTCATCAAGTCAGTTCCATTATTGTACATTACAATTTTATTTGCATCTTTTTCTTTTGTTTGAAAAAGAGAAAAGAAAAGAACGTATATTTCACTCTAGAAGAATTTTGCATAATTGCGGCATACCTAATACTTTTACATTTATAACGACTGGAGTGGTTCCTTTTTATTATTATATATTTTCTTTTAATGTATGATTTCTAACAAATGTAACGAAATAATTAATGTGTGGGTTCAGTTGGAGACGCACCCGGGAGGGACAAGGTGGAACCCGACTCAAGAACAGATAGGGATACTTGAGATGTTGTACAAAGGTGGAATGCGTACTCCTAACGCTCAACAGATCGAGCATATCACATCGCAACTCGGTAAGTACGGGAAAATCGAAGGGAAAAATGTGTTCTATTGGTTCCAGAACCACAAAGCCCGCGAGAGACAGAAGCAGAAGAGGAACAACCTCATCAGCCTAAGTTGCCAAAGCAGCTTCACGACCACTAGTATCTCTAACCCGAGTGTAGCAACGAAGACAAGAACTTCATCGTCACTAGACACCAGGGTATAATGTTTTAAAAGGGTTTTGTATAAAATGGTTTCTAATTAATTATATTTAAGGATTTTTTTTTTTATTGTGTAGAGAGCATCCATGGTGGAGAAGGAGGAGTTAGTGGAAGAGAATGAGTACAAGAGGACATGTAGGAGCTGGGGATTTGAGAACTTGGAGATAGAGAACAGAAGAAACAAAAATAGTAGTACTATGGCAACTACTATTAATAAAATCATTGACAATGTAACCCTCGAGCTTTTTCCTCTGCACCCTGAAGGTAGATGAAGTCATGAAGATGAGGCAGAAAATTGTGGAATTCTTATGTAGATCTGGTTTAGGTTCAGAGGAAGCAATTGGTATCTAGAAATAAAATAAAAATAAGAGTAAGTCTCTAAAACTACAAAATCTACTTAAGAATTCCCTTATTAATCTGCGAGTTTTATGTATTCTGTGTAGATTATTTTTGCGATGTAACCTTAATGATGAATGCTTAGTTTAGCTCATCTCTTTTCATCTTTGTTCTTAACAAATTCACTCGTGATTAGTTGTACTGTCTTCTGATTGGTCATTACGTATTTTATCTTAAATCCTACGTACGTACAAGAGTAGTAATAAGTTAAATAATTTTTTTAAAAGCTTTTCCAATTAAAAAGGTGTTAGACCTAGTATATTTCTATAAACAAACTTTGAAATCTACAATCTTTTTGTACTGTTATAACGACTTAAGAAAAATATAGTATCTTGCCCAAAAAAAGAAGAGAGAACATATAGTAGTATCAATTAATTCTAAAATATTAAAGCAGGTGAACTCAAACATTTATATTAGTAAGTTATATTTTTGATAAATACTTACTACTTTAAGAGATGATATATGATATCAGCAATCTTTTCAAGAATTTGATATTTCCGATGGAATGTGTACAAAGACATCAATATATGTAAGCTGTGGTGTGTATGTGGTTAGTTGTTTGTCTGATGCTTTATTGACTCTCGCAAGTGGTTTTTTGTATTTTGGTTGAAACAAAGAGAGAGTTTTGCTTTTTAGGTTAAAAGTTAAAATGGCATTATATGAGACACACTCACTGAAGTCCATGCACTCGCTTTCCCGCTACATTGCATGCTAGCTAGCTGTTTCTATATATACATACGCATATATATGTAGCTTTTCTATATTTTTCGCACTTAATTATTGTATGTGACATTCTCCCTTTTATTTTTGCTATATACCGATTTTTGTTTTTTTTTTCTTCTTCTGATAACCAAGAAGTTGCAAATCCGAAAGCCTATATATCTTTTTAGGCTGGGGTAAAGCAATTCAAATTCCCTGAGCATGATTTTCACTCCTTTGGAAGGGTCATGTTTTTGCGACTGGACCAAGTACTACTTGGTTGTTATATACCAAGTTTCCTTTTTTTCTCGAATTTTGTTGCAAGATAATGTATATATATATATATTACCTTCTTACGGTTTTAAAAGAAACCCTAAAACTTAAATAATCTTTTTTTTTGGTAAAGACATTAAAATAAATTATAACTATGTTGTACATTAAACGATACCAAAAAATAATATAAATTTATTTATGTTTAGATTATGTTTACTAATTCAAAAAAACACATTTCCAGCAGAGCTTATCTTTAATAACGAAATTACCTAATATTTTAAGTCTGTCTTTACCGGTAATCATATTCTCAAATGATTATCTGCCATGCATTATGAATTGGTGCCCGTGGGCGTGGGGCATGGCGTTCCATTACTTATAATCTTGGAGGGAAGCGAGATTGAAATTTAGAAATAAAGAACTTTATTCATTTGGTAATGGGACCATGAATATTATTTCAATAATTCAATGTTTCTCGGTTTTCACGTGTACATAAATAACTCCAAATACATTCAAACACAAATAGTATTAGGCCTAAAAAAATGGGTATCGGCCAGGAGGCCTGACCAGTCAGCTGGCTACATGTATGGGTTGGCAAAAAACGGGCTTCGTGGACTCTACGACCGCAAAGCCATATATCAATCTTTTCTTGGGTCGGATTCCACTGGACCATATATATAAATCAAACCATGAGGTAAGTGGAGTCGAAATTTGATATTTATATAAGGAAAAAAATGGAAAGTAACGAGTTCAAGCTATATCTAATTAGGCTAGAAATGTTGGTCTGATGTATTTTTTCAATCTCTAGACTTTTCCAAATAAAAATGAGAAAATATGAATGGTTTTAGGAAAAGTAAGATACAATTTTTTTGAGTTTCCTCAAAATATCTTTATATATTGAGAGATGTTAGATTACACATTAGTTTTTGTATAAATAGTTTAGTCCCGTCTTCGTAAAGCAATAAAGCATCATCATAAACAATATATTCCATCCGTTTCAAAATATAAGACGTTTTAAGATTTTGCATGCAACTTAATAAAAACTATATTTTTAATCTAATATTCTTTTTTTTAAGCATTTAATAAAAGCAAAGAACATGTTACTACATGTATTTAATAAAAATACAGAATTGCTTTTGAATTCTTTTATTAGTATTATTTTTACATTGGGATGGCAAAACGTCTTACATTTTGAAACAAAATAAAATGTCAAAACGTCTTACATTTTGGAACGGAGGAAGTATAAGTTTTTGAATCTTTTACGGTATCAAAGACAATATCTGGCACATATGATTTTGAGGTGAATTAGGGCAAGAAGGCGGACATTTTTAATTGTTAGCGAAGAACCTTTTGTCACCTACACCTTATATCAATGTGAAAGACTGACGTTTATCCGAAACCTAGTAATGTACACAACTAAAGAAGCCCAACAAGCCCAAGTACAGCATATCACACCACAGCATGTAACGTCGCCTTCTGGAGACTTGAAGATTCTTTATGAAACTCTTCACAACATTAAAATTTTCAAAGAGTAAAAAATGCAGGTATGGTGCAATCTCTCTATTCCTAGTTCCTACCTGCCTACATCTGTCAAAAATTTCCTCCGTCTATCAAACTCCTACTACTTTTGATTCTAAATGCATTCTCCGGGAAGCTAATCTCCAAACTAGCTGATAAATTAGCCAAATCAGTAAGAGAACTTTGATTGAAAATGTTGTATTGTCGAATAATTTAATTTAGTTGTCATGTGTGTGTAATACTTTTTATTATACGAAAAAAAAATGTAGTGGGCTATAGGTTCAACGAGGCCCATATGAACAAAGAAAACACATTTGTTCTGGTGGTACTGGGCCTACTGACAAACACTAAAATTACTTTTGTTTTTGTCGAAATTACTTTGAAAATTTTAAAGGTACTTTAGATAATTTTTTTTTTTTTTTTTTTGAACAAAAGGTACTTTAGATAATTTATCTTTTTATAAAAACGAAGAAAAATAACAATAGGTACAAAATTAAAATTTCTGGGAACCAGAAACTAGGAAAAGATGACATGGTTGGATCAAAAAAAAGAAAGAGAACAAAACACATAAAAATGAAAGAAGAAGACGTGAATGCATTAAATAAGAGAATTAAATAACTGGATCGGTCCAATACACATGAAAAATTTCGAAAAATGCATAAAAAGTAACCTAAGCCTATCTACATTAGAGACATCACTGACATTCTCATCTTCTCTGGACAACAAGCCCAGAAAACAAAACCAAAAAGCTAATAACAAAACCAAACATAAAAAGATTATTAATCAAAGAAACAAAAGTAAAGATTAACCATAATATTCATCTTCATCATAACAACATTAGTGCTAATAATGCTGACTGATTCTGATACTTTCAAAAAAAAAAAAAACAAAGACTCTCTCTTAACGTGTAGAAGCAGTCATGAGATTCAAAGCAAGATCAGATTTATCCAACACAAGTCGAGTTTTGCTTGTTTGGTCTGAGAAATGATGTGATCTCTTCTTAGAAGAAGGCAACGAAACTCCAAAAAGCTTTGTCTTTCTCATATTACTCTGATCATGATGATGATTAGTGTCATCTTCAAGAACTGTAATAGAGCTTTGTGAAGTTGGTGGAGATGAGTTCAAAGCATGGAGATTAGTGGCATTGACAGTGGCAGTATTGTAATAATCAAGTGTTGGAGGTTGTTGTTGTTGTTTCTGGAGAAATGAAGAGAGATAATTAGAGTTACTTGGAGCAACAGGCTTGACATGGTTTTGAACAAAGTAGATAATGTCGTTGTAGAGTTTCTTCATGTGAGCAAGTTCAGACATTAACACTGTGTTGCTTCGTCGTAATCTCTCGTTGTCTTCACTCAATGCTGTTACTTGCGCCGCCGTGTCAATGGTGGTTGTTTGTGGTGGTATGACTCTTGGTCTTGACGGTGGTGAGTCACACCAGTAATGATCTTCTTCTGGAGTGGTGACATGTGGTGGTAATGGGAAGAAAGAACCACCGGAGAATGGAATCTGCGGCGGAGCGTGGTGGTGTGACATGAATGGAGAGTGTTGTTGTGGTATCATTTGAGATGTTTTGCGGCGGTGGATTTCGCAGAGTAAATGTTTCTCTCCTCTCTTGAAAAACTCGTTTGCGAACTCCCATCGATCTGGTACAATCTTTCTGAAACCCTAACGAAATCAAACATCACAAAATCAGATTTCTTGATGAAGAAGACTAAAATCTCAAAAAAAAACCCAAATCTCAAGAACACATTTTTCTTCTGTTTTTGGTGTAAAAATTGGAACTTTAAGAAATGGATAATCACAAAATCAGATCGTAGAATGTTATGTATCAAAAAAAAAACCCATTTGATTTCTCCAAAAATCTCATAAACCCAAATCTCAAAAACCCATTTTTGGATATAAAAATCGTATCTTTAAGAGATGGGTAATCACAAATCGTGTTGCTAATAAAAATCGTAACTTTAGAGAGAAAGGAGAGAGCTTTGTCTACATACATAAGTGTTGAGCTGACGAACGAAGCTAGAGAAGTTGTTATGTTTAAAGTAATTAGGAAGAAGGTCACGAGCAAACTCCGGTGGACGCCAAACAACAAAAGTAGTATCATCATCACCCCAAGAAACGACATGATCCGTCGCAGGATCATCAACAAGTTGATAAGTCTTTGTCAGAAACGGTGCCGGAACAGCTTTGCCTTGACCTTCGACCATAAGTTGTATCCTTTCTCCGTTACCACCACCGTAACCACCGTAGCTATTCTCAACCATCATCGCCATTAGAGAGTTCGAGAGAGAAAGAGAGAGAGAGAGAGAGAAAAGAGAAGAGCTTTGTGTTTGTTTTGTATCGAGTGGGGTTGAGATAAAAATGGTAGTCTAGTACTGAGTAGTGAGTGAGTACTAATTTGTTTTTTTTGTTATTACAACTTTTTTTTTTTTTTTTTTGCTTTGAGGTTTATAGATCGTACGTGTGTGTATCTGTCCTCATGTGTAATTACTATTAATTAGAGACTTTTGTTTTTGTTTGGGTTTTTTTTTTTTTTTTTTTTTTGTTCTCCTGGTATATATGAAATTGGAAGACTTGTGGTGAATGGTGATCTACTTTTGCTTTTGCATGCTCACATAAAAATAATGTTGGTTAAACAAAAAAAAATTGAGGTGAAAATATAGGTTTGGTAAAAATGTATGTGGCTAAGAAATGTAAATGATCATCAAATGATTAAGGTTTGATTCAAGAAAAGAAATATCATGGTCATGGATATGTAATTGAGTAGACTTATTGACTTATACGTGAGTGAGATACATGAATGATTTTTCACTTTTTCTTAACGCCACACGGATATAGAATGTAACACTAATGTCAATTACTGTTTCTTTACTTTTACGTTTACTAATTATTATTTTTTCCTATTTAATCTTCACTTATCAAAGATATTAGTAGTGTTAGGAGATTAGTCATTTGTCCACTAAATCTTTAAGTTCTGATGCACCATATTTAGGACGAACAAATTGTATATTTTCCAAAACAGATTTTTTGTTGTTGTTAGCAATGTCGTATGCAACTTCATAACCCCATCATCGTAGTAATCACTCTTCAATAACACGAGAAAAATCTAAATATTCGGAATGTACTTACGGGTAAGCTATGCATATGCATATTATCGGAAAACACTTTTCTTCTTGTAGAACCATCGAAAGAAAAAAATGTTCGAAAGTAGTTAAATTTATCAGTTTTAAAGATTCTTATATCATGTCAAAATCATATAAAGAAGACAACCATGAAATCCTATATTTTGTGTATATACGAAAGATAAGCAAAAGTTGCGTACAACATGTGAGAGAATAAAGTTAGAGCAATTAGTTGATTAGCCTCTTTTGAAATTGATTCTACTTACATAACATGTTTTCATAAATTATTTAGTAGCTAACATTTCCAAAAATTATAGAAAATGTTAGCTTGCATTGGAAAAAAACTTATGTGTTTACACTACAAGAAATATCTACATTATTAACCAGAGAAAAGAGCTATTAAATGTCATCAATAGCGTTTTCATAAACGCTGTCTTATGCCCCTGTTATGGTAGACCCTTCATATACGATAGCATTTTTTCCATATGCTATGATAGAGTATTCTACCATAGCATTAGTAAAACGCTTTCATATATCGACTTATAATAGCGATATATATAAGCTATGATCTATAATTTTTATGATGCTATAATATTCAGTGCCATAACTCTAATTTTATGCGGTTGTTTTAAGCTATTTGCATTTGGTGGATCCTGTTTAGTTTTCAAAATATCCAATATATATAATAATAAACATCCAAAAGATATATATCATTTCATAAACAAAAAATCAATTCATACATAACACAAGTCTCAATCCAATACTTAAACTAATATCCTAACTTCTATATACTACTTTTGCCAAGGAAGTTATTGATGAGATCATGCAAAATCCTTACTTCGTTTTCTAGATATTGGACTCGATTCCTCAAGGAAGTTAGCTCAGCTTCATAGCTTGTTGTAGTCTCTTCCATTCTCTTAGGTTTTCGAAAAATACTGCTACCTTTTCTCTTAGGTTTTCCCCAAATACTGCAGTCTTCATCTATCTCACTATCCTCAACGACGAGATTCATTATATCTTCTGTTAGAACATAAAATATAACAAGTGAAATTCAGGCTTCTTGACCACAAAATTTTGAGTCACTTTCTTAGTAAACAAATCTCTTTACTCACCTGAAAACTCAACCTGCGATTGAGACATATCTTTAGCCTGAGAAGAGACTAATTCCATTTCCTTTGTACCTTTACTTTCTCCAAGAAACTCAAGACCATCACTTGTATCCAACATCGGTGACTCATAGACATAACTCGAAAACCACTTACTTAGATCAGGAACTTCTGAGAATTCTGAAAACAGAAGTGACGAACCACATAAGTGAAATCAATGCAGCTAATCTAGCTTACCACTAACAATATCACTACAAGAAATATTCACATTGATAGCACATGAAGATAGCTCATTTTTCATCACTGCTATGAAAGATGAATGTTTTATTTTGTTTACTATACAATAGCACCGAAACGACGCTATGATAAAAAATCACTAAGCCGAAAACTAAAATCACTTATTTCGCTAATACTTAGAAATTGTTTTTCACTTGAGCGCCATATATCTCAGATCCAAATTTTTTTAGTGTCACCTTCTATAACCAAAGCCACGAAAAAAAAAAGAAAAAAAAAAAGAAAAATCCCCACACCAAAACCTAGATCTTGTGGAGCTAAACTTAAATGTTCTGAAAACCAACCTCTTCATCTCCTTTGTTCGTGAAGCTAAACGTCACCATCGATCTACTCCGGTGAACTCCTCTCCTTTCTCTGGCAAGCATCTCCATCTTTCTCCTCCGAGATTTATCTTTCCCGACATGAAAGATGATGCTTGCCTTCCGATAGCAAAATTGAAATCGAAAAACGGATTCCGACCAGCTGCTGGCTGTCTTCGGCGAAGCAGACCGCCGCCATCACCATTCATTCCAGGTACCTTCTAATCTCTCTCTTGTCTCTTCTTGTGATACTTAGAGATTAGGGTTTTCTGAAACTGGATTTCAATTTCTAAACCAATTCAGGTGACAAGTTCCGAATTCCGATAGCTTCTCCGACGATTTACAGCTCTTCTCCGACGAAACTAAAGCTCCTTCTTTGTCTCCTCCGTGAGACCAGAGACTAAACGGGACCCAGATCTCCTCTGTGAATCTAGAGACAACCGGTGGATGTGGATAAGCTACAATGGCTTGAGATCCGAGCATGCCGGTGGATGTGGGATTCACGGTCCATGCCACCCATTACGGGAGGTGTATCTCCGGTGGTAGATGATGGGTTTAAAGTAATTTCGATATTGGTATTAGTTTTTGGTTGATATCGTAGTTCAAAGTTGCATCTTAATATTCTTTGCTTGTGTTCTTTGTTTTGTTTCTCTGGTGCAGATTCATGTCCCGCCACCATTCCCAACGACTTGTTCACCTCTGCCATCACTTCTGCCACCATCTTCCTCCTCAAGCTCAATAAGTTATGACTTTACTAATTGTTTGTTCCTTTCTAACATTGCTTATTTTTTTAAAATTTGTATTGGGGATTGAAAATATATATGTGAGCTTAAAGTTTCACTCTTTGAGGTTATTTAGTATACATAATGAACTTAGGTTGTTCGACATAATGCCTCAATGAGAATTAGATCTGTTTCGGATTATAGTTATTTTATGAATTAAACTTATTCGTTTATGAGAAGGAAGCTAAGGAGATGATGCTAAAGATAGAAACTTTGAGGGTCTTGAAACATATTTTCAAGGCTTACGAAGAAAGAAGTGAAGGTCGCTGCCAAAAAGAAGACGGTATGACCTTGATTTGTTTTTTCTAATTTGTAGTAAGTTTATTCAATTATTAACGCCAAGGAAGAAGATTGTTGGATCAATACCTTGATGTGCTCTATGAGAAAATGTGTCTTCCTATTTTAAATGCTGAGTTTTTTAATAGTAATGTTAGATATAATGGAGGATCCTCTCTCGACATAGTATATGTAAGGATTTTTTTGCAGCATAGTCTAGTTCAACTCATCAATAAGAGTATTAGTAATAGTAATCCTTCTTTTATTTTTCATTTTGCAATGTTCTTGAGGTAGATGAAGCTCAAGCGAGATGTATTCGTCTGATAGCTATAAATCTAATTACGTTTCTTTTTTTTTTCAGGTTAAAATATTCTCGAGAAGAGGCTATGTATCTCATGATCACCATTGTCATCTGCGAAACAGAGAATTAAAAAACCATCCAGATCCTCAGGTTTCTTCGTATTCCTTATAACTATGGAAATTTGGAGAAAACACACTTAGCTTTGCTAAAATTAGATGTACTCAAAGAATAGCTAAATCATCTTGTGTTTTGCTTTCATATTTACTTAATTTATTTGTCTATATCAATTTTGGTACCTTAAAGCAGCTATATGGGGGCTGTAGAAGACCATGTTATTGCTTGCAAAAAGTAAAAACGCCTTACTTCCAAGTTTGTTTTCTTTTCTCCACCAAATCTTATAACTCAAGTTTGTATATTTGTACAAATAGAATTATTATTTTGAAATAATGCTTAATCACATATTATTTGTTTTACAATTTGATCAAGCAGTTGATACGAGAGAATGGTTGAAGAGATGGGAGCCAAGTTCAAGGAGGAAGTTGACTATATCGTTTAACTTATGATGTTAGTTTTAGTTTGTTTAAGATTAGGCGACAATTTAGTAAATAGTATAAGACTTAATAGTTAATATGATATTATGTATACCTTGTTTTTTTTTAATGTAATATTACTTATTTATGATTTATAAAATATAAACGTTAGATATATAACTGTATGTCCAATAAGTAAATTTTATAAAATTGGGTTCTAATATAAATTTTATTTTATAAATCAAATTAAATTTATATAGCGAAAGAAAATAACACTAAACATGTGTTACAATAAAGTATATTATAGCGTTCTATTAGCGTTATAATATAAAATCGCTATCGTATGTGGAGGTTTACCATAACATGCCAAAAACGCTATCGTATGTAGGGGTCTACCATAACAGGGGCATAACATAGCGTTTATGAAAACGCTATTGATGACATATAATAGCTCTTCTCTCTTGCTAATAATGTACATATTTCTTGTAGTGTATCCACAAAATGATGTTTCAGAAACCAAACCAATTAAACAAGTTTGATGCTACCTTCACTATCATCCATCTCTCAATTCTCTATATTCAAAAGTCAAGTCTTTTCCTCTGCCTCTTTGGTCTTAACCAAAACTCGATCTCCCAATAGCTTAATTGAAGCTAAGTATATTGTCAATACTAAACTGAGACAAAGAAAATTATAAGTCATTACTAGAAGGAAACCTATAAATCATCACACATAGTTTTAGAAATAAAAGAGAGCTTGACTTCTAGCTGCACTTGA